CACACAGACTGTGAGTGATGACTAGACTATTGGTACAGTGAAATAGTGTGCACTTAGGTGTTGCCCTCTACATGTGCATATATATATATATATATATATATATATATTTCATCTTGTCGTTCCAGGTGATTGGCTGTTGCTTGATATCCCGGTGTGGCTGTACTTGATGTGCGTGTTGACAAGGTGCCTACCTGTCTATTACCCACTACCTCGTCCATCTGGCTCCAGGAGACAGTTGGTCGTTGCTGGAGGGGACGGGGTGCACGGTCCATGTAGCCGTGCTAGCCTCCAAGAGTGGTTCCATGCACTCAGTGTGGAGCGGACTACGGTCCAGTCACCGCTTTGTGTGCACTTGATTTCCCAAATACAGCGTGCTTGTGTTTGTCTGTGAGGGAGTGTGGGCCGGCTCCGTTAATGAAACGTGGCTCCCATCCACATGCCTCCCTGTCTTATTCCTTCGGGTTTACACTGGATATGGGGTGTGTGGTTGGAGCTGTGGATGGTGCAGCGCAAGCCATCCATGGTCTCTCTAGGTGCATGCGTCCTGTGGCTGTTCCCCTGGAGGCGACATTGACAGGCAAATCCGGAGACAGAAGCTGCCGACCAGATATATATTAACATAACAAATAAATAAATATGGTTGTGGCATCCGACCGGATTTGTCTGTTACAGTGGCCTCAAATGACAGCTGCAGGAAGCCTGCCCTTACAATAGAGCCCTTGGTGGCTTGCGCTGCACCACCCACAGCTCCATCCACACACCCCACATCCAGTGTAAACCCGAAGGAATAAGACCGAGATGCATGTGGATTGGAGCCACGTTTCATCAATGGAGCCGGTCCACACTCGTTCACTGGCAAACACAAGCAAGCTGTATTTGGGGGGTTCAAGCGCACACAAGGCGGTGTCTAAACCGTTGTCCGCTCCACACACAATCCATGTGCATAGAACCACTCTTCGAGCCTAACACGGTCACGAGGACCGTGCACCCCGTTCTCTCTAGCCACGACCAACTATCTCCTGGGACTTTCATAGATGAGTTGGTGGGTAATCGACAGGTAAGCATCTAGTGAACATGCACATCAAGCGGAGCCACACTGGGGATGTCAAACAACAGCCAATCACTTGGAATGACAATATCAAATATAGTGAATCAGATAAGGCATACGGATATGCCGAGTTAACTTCACTAAATTAGCAAGTGGAATAAACTTGTATTCTACATACTCGCGATAACCTCTAGTTGACAGAAACCGAGACCAAACGTGAATAAAACTAACAAAATTAACCACCCTTCGTTTAAGCGACATACGCAGGTTAATAGAAGATTATTCAGGAGCACTTTAAAAGGAGACGTCAAGATAAACATTAAGATAATATAGCCAACCAACCACCTGAAATAAAGAAACAGCACGCAGTTAGTAAATCGAATGCAGCGTACCTACTAACGCTGCGCTGCTTCTGCCTACGTTCTCTGCAGGACCCGTCGTTGTTTCGATACTAGTCCTGAGTGGCCGCTCTCGTGGCTCACTAAGCCTGCCTGACTCAGGCACTCGCGGCCGCATGTGCTGCAGCACCATATGTTCGGCGTCGATGGAGTACATGCCGTTGACGCCTGTCGCTTTAGTATTTGCCGTTTCTTCTCCGCATGCACGAGGGCTTTCTCCTGCACCCAGGTAACTGCCTTCGTGATCAAATCGCGCCTTGCCTTCGATTCCAATGACCTGAACTCAGCATTAGAACGTGATGGGCTCACCTCGATCATGGCATGATAACATAACTTCGGTTTTCCCACGTACCGCTTCCCTGCACGCAGTTGACCATACAGCAGCTATTTCGGTATTCGGGTCGAACCCATACGGCGAATATGCCCAAACCACCTCAAGTGCCTCAGCAGAATTATGCACTCCACTGCATACATGCCACTGCGCCTCCATGTCTGCAACTCGGTCACTCCAGCCGATACGCATAAATCGGCGCAGACACTGTGTCGACGCTCGCTTTATTCGGCTATTCAAATGCTACTATCTCCCTATGGTAAGCATCTAGTTGGACTGCATCTTTGGGTAATATATTTCGCTCCATATTACACCAATCAATAATCAAACCTGTGGGGGCTGAGACTATCTTTGTTTTCTCCCAGAAAACTGAATCCGGAGATAATATAGCGCGACCGTTTGTCGGAAGCTATGTTTTCACAATTAATCAGCCGTTTAGAAGAAGTAAGTAGGCAAATAAATAGGAGTGAGGTATACGTTTATTGCCGAATCGTAAAATTTGGCTGGGTTGACGGGCACCTAAGAAGGCTTAAGGAAGGAGAGAGACAGGTTCCAGGGGCGTCGGCGATTACTTTCCAATCGCGTTCCGGAATTATGTGTACACCAACAAGGGTAGTCAACATGCGACGAACAAACTGCCTACTTCTCATTATTAAAATTTTTGCAATATTCTGCATATCATACGACGATCGTACGGTGAGATCTCCAGGTCGCTTCACTTTTGCCCTCCACCTACAAGACAGTTATGCTCAAATATATGCCAAGTACGTCTAACCCACACTAGGAAATAATAATTCAATCTTACTCCTGTGAGGCTTTGGCTTGCACGGCGGGAGATACTCTATCCTCTTAAGGGTAGTAACGCGCAATTCATTGGATTTGGAGCGGCGTTATAACTCATTTAGTAACTGTCACGTAGCTTAGTGTTCTTAATCATAGACTGGTAACAGTGCAGTTGTGGATTGAAATTTCGTAGGGGCCAGATAGAATGCGCACTGCTGACGATTCCCAAAGGGATGATCCGGCCGTGCAATGCTTCTCTCTGCGTCTGATGACTGACTGAGTCTAGATGAGGTGGATTTTCATTTATAAAACTCAAATCCTCCTACAACCTTGAAACAGTATCAATAAATTTGGAATAAAATAAAGCGACAAGTGGAATGGTTTACGATAGCTGTGAACCAATTTGCTTGACCAAAACACAATCACTCCGCTCAATTAAGACTGCCCTTAACTATTTTCCTCTCCCTAGACAGTTCGGCACTGCACAGGAAAATAGTGCGGCTCCAATCGAGTAAAATACTCTGTCCGAATACTCCTCTGTCGTTCACATGGTGTGTATTGACTTCTTGGCACAAACTTTTAAATGTTCATCTTCAATGCAGTTGCTTGTCTCCTATACATTGTGCTTACATCGCTGGATATTCGGAACAATTCCATGCGTATCTGCTTCCTGAGGTACAGCAGTCCTTTCGGTTGTATGTACAATGTACTTCGGTCGTGCGATCTGCTCCGCTCAGATGTTTAACATCCTGAATGGTTATTTCGTCCAACATACCTTGTCTACCAGGTTTTTGTTACAAATTTCGCCACTCACCGCGACTTTAGTTACTCTTCCCGTTTTCACGTATATCAGCTCGATTCCTCTACCGAAAGAAGCTATCTTACGGCAGTATAAAGACAACCTGTTCTGGGCCTCGACCATCTGACTGCTAAGCTGCAAACCTTTCTTGTCATCACAGCTTTATCTAGTCTTGTTTCCTCTCGCTGAACACCTAAAATGCAAGCTTCTTTTCCATCTGCTTATTAATCGTCACTAACAACTCCTCATATACTGTTCATAACTTCCTTCAATAGTTCTCAGTGAAATTCCCCATGATATCGAGCGATTTTGTGTGTGGTCACTTTACGTAAACAAAATATTCACTAAAATCATAAGACTATCAGACTATACCTAACCTCTCAAGTCTCCCTCCGTATCCAGTTTGGTTCTACGTTATGCCGCTGCGTGTATTACCATACTGCATGTAATGATCTCCAGTAATCTCCCCTTGCCTGTAGCTTAAGGATTTTCATGTACTTAATTGATCGAATTTGTGGACGCCATTGTTTCTGATCATGTTGTTTCCTGCAGACAGACTCACCTATGCTAGTCACTTCATGGTGCATCGTCTAAATATAGAGCAATCTCCCCGCCCACTGAGATGTACGAAAGCATAAATGTTGCACACGATGCATCTGTTATCCCTTATTTTCAACGTATTATGATAGATCAAGATTTAGTCACTTAACTACTGATTAGCGGATATAGCTCTGACAACGGCATTTCAGGGATTACTTTTTTACCTATTTATTTAAATTCTTTTACTAACTATTACTGTTACTGTCATGGTGTTACGGATGAGCATAAGTAGATTTTTGGCTTGACTTGTTTGACTTGTTTTGAACTTTCCTGTACCATAATCTCTCCGCCGTACGACACGCAGTAGAAGGACATGGAATTTGTTCACGAAAAGAGCCTAGCAAATATCTCCAGACCAGCATCCATTTACAGTTTTTCAAAATAGACGGTCGGTAGACACAGAAAGAACTCGACCCAATTACTGCAGATAGTTCAATTTCACTAAACAGCCATGGCTAACTAGTTGCTCATAATCCACTGATCGACGTCAGCATTAGTACAAGGTAAATGCAGTTTTTTCATATACTGGAGTTTGGTATAATATTTTGTGTATATTGGATGTAGACTGTACCAACACGGATTCGGTGCTGCACTTTTGTACTGGGCAAACTGCATGGATGCTCCTCATTCGCTGACAAATATGTGCTCTCCATCTTTGCAAGCGAATTATCCATCTACTTTCTTCGTTGTTCACTCCTTTTACTCAACGCTACACACAAGCAGCTAGTGTTGCTCTCAGGGTTGATTAAGTGTTATTCTTCTACCCATATTTCAACCGTTTTTCACAGCGTCGTTTACACGAAGTGAGCCAAGAAGTGATGATCTACTTCCGCGAATTAACAGAGGCATGCGTGGGTGCGAGTGAGAACCGTCGCCACGAGGCACTTGACAATGCAACGTTGGATCCTGGGCTGCAACCCATTCTACCTCATTTAGTCACCTTCATCGCTGAGGGGGTGAGAATTTTCTGGTCCTTACTTTTCTTACTATGCAGGGTTACTTTGCAGGATCTCCCTGGTGGTTTGTTACGGCCATCTCTTTTTATGCTTGTTGAAGCAGTCATGCATGAATCAGCCTGCGTTATGGAAGCAGTTGGCAACTGCATTCTCATCTCAAAACACCAACTCGAATGCCTTCTTTTCCTCTGGCCCCCATTCGACGTTTCTCATTTCAGTAGCCTATTTTGCTCTGTTTTCCTGTGTCTTGCTGATGGATGTTCAATATCCCTGCATTGCGAATAAGCTCTCTAGCCAACGGTTCTGGTAGTGTCCCCTATGACAACCCCTTACTTTGTCTTAGGCAACTGTCTAGTACGCTGCCGTCTGACAAAACCATGGATTGCTCTGGGCTTTGTTCGATATATATATATATATATATATATATATATATATAAAAGTGCAATCTATCCGGTGATTCGGGGCTACTGATTCGGAGTTGTGCTAGGAGCGTTAATTGATGTAGTAGTCTTGATTCCGTTTTTACCGCGTTTACTCCAGACTTCCAAGCTCTTGCTACTTATATTATAGCAACATCCGTCATTTTTTGAGTGCAGAATTCGGTACAGTAATCTACTGTTATCTCCGGAATCCAAATACTCCACAACGCTTCCTCAATTTTGTGTGAAGTTTGAAATTTGTAGTTAGAAGTTCACCAAATTTCTATTCAACTACAGTCGAACCCACTTTCTTGCGCACCGTCGGGATCTCTCAAAATTGGGCAGTGAGGCAGGGTGTGTACTTAACTGATATTGCCATTTTCCCCAAAAGGGAAACAACCGTTGAATTATTGTACAGTATATCATTTGAATTGTAACGTGCTAAGAATGATAAAATACGTATTTTTAACTGAAGCCTACAAAAGACGTTTATTCTGAAGAGCATGCTCCATAATTTAAAAGTTATAACATATAGCATCTTACCTGGATAGCTATAGAAACTGGCGTCACTATATTTTTGCTGAGAGCAATCCAACCTTAGTTGTACATTATTTCGTGCAGATACCCCAGTCACTTTTACTCTGATGAAATCCAATTGGGACAAAAAGTCGTTGCCTTTCCCATGCCAAAGTCCGTAGCTATACAGACCATTCACATTGTTATTTGCTCTTGAATGTGACACGCGCTGATTGCTGTTACTCACGGAGGCATCCGGCACGTCATCCTTTTACTCGCTGCCTTCTTTCTGTTCTGGTCGGTTCTCTAAAATTTTACTGACGATTTCATCGTCAACAGTTGTCTGGTCTGAGATACATTCCACATCGTTGTCAGTGTCGACCAACTCTTCTGCATTCATGACTGGGATTGTGCAAGCGCTGATCTCGTCTTAAGGGATGATGGGGTCATCAAAAAGTGCATCGGATTCTAGTCGACGGAGGCCAGCATGCCGAAAGCACACTTATATTGTTGCCACGGTAACCTATCTCTAACTTTTTGAAAGGAACTTCATTACATTGCGCACAGAAATCTTGGCGTTGAAATCCACCGCCGATGATGAGCCAGATAACACGTTGTTCTCTATGTGCAAAGGAATTCGGTCCACTATCTCCTTTTCCTAATGGGTTCTCAGGTTCATAATCACACCTTGTTCCATGGGTTGTAGAATGCTGACCGTGTTTGCCTGCAAAAATTTCATTTGAATGTTTTTCAGTTCTTCTACCTGTGGATGCACTGTGCAATTATCCAAGAGCAACATGACTTTTCGGCCACATTGGCCTAGCTCCTTGTCCCATTCGAGGACCCACTCGGTGAAAACGTCTTTCGACATCCACGCATTTTTGTTAGCGCTGTAAGTTACGAGAAGTGCAAGTACGTTCACGCCATTAAAACATCATGATTACTTACTTTTTAAATCAATACCATATTTCTTTTATCCGTGTCTGACGTATTCGCGCAGCATAGGAAAGTGATCTTATCTATGGCCTTTACCATTTGCTGGGCTTGTCAGCAGCAAAACACAAAGAGCAAACATTTGTACACATTTTTCATTGGGCCCGGTTCTGCGCCATCTCCGAAAGAGTTTCCAGCCTGCGGTGTTCTTCATCTTTGATCCCCCAGCCCGGAAGACCCACAGGACCTACGACAGCGAAACTGGAAGCCAGCCCTTTAATCTTTTATCGCCTGGTGATAGGCTGGCCACCACGTGGTTTCTTCCCGCCTGGTCCTGTTCGAGCGAAGAGAGCGCGTCAGGGCAGCCGTTCGCATGGCTTGCCTAAAACGTGTCCCAACCATCTCAGTTTGTGCATCGTTACCCGTCTATCAAGTGAAAGTCCCGTGTTACCCACGACTCGACGTCTAATCTCATCGTTGCGCACGTGGTTCATCCACCACACTCGATCCATTCTCCGCAGCCATCCATTTCCGAATGCTGAAATCCGACGCAAGTCATTCGCACGAATCGGTCAGGACTCACTTCTATACAGCAGCACCGCGCGAACACAGGTATTGTAGACCCTACCCTTTACCAATACTGAAATGTCACGACGCCGCCACAGATGCCTCAAGTTGGCGAATCTCGAAATGGCTTTGGCAATGCGGAGGCAAATCTCTTTACAAATGCTACCATTAGCAGAAACAGCTTCCCAGGTAAACAAAGTTTTCCACTTCTTCAAGCTGAGTATCTTGAAGAGTGAGCACTGGGGCAGGTGGATGCCAATCCAGAACCAGGACTTTACATTTCTTAAGGGCAACGGTCATTTCATATTTTGGTGCTCCAATCGCCAAGCGGTTTAGAACGGCTTGTGTGCTCTGTGCGTTATCACCAGTCAAGGCAGTATCATCAGCATACTTTAAATCGCTCACGCGGTTACCAGGAAGAAGCTTTACACTAGAACCCCAAAAGCACTCGAGTGTTTAGAAGGACATCCTCGATCGCAAAATTGAAAAACGAGGACACGGGGCAGCCCTCTCTTACACCGCTAGTGACGGCAAATGGTGAAGAGACCTTACCATAAGCCCTCACTTTACATGAGACCTTGCGATGTAATGCTTGAAGGATGGCGATATACTTTTCGGGTACTCCATTCCTTTGTAAGCAACGCCATAAAGCTGGCCGATCGCCGGAGTCTGAAGCGGCTCGGATGTCCAGAAAAACCACGATAGTGGACTGGCGCTAAAGATGACACGTTTCAAGGAGTTGGCGGATCGTAAACAAGTGGTCTATATACCCTCTACTGGGGCGGAAACCAGCCTGTTCTTTACGGGAGCGCAATTCTCGAATCGGGGTTAATCTGCGGAGTGGAATCGATGTTAACAGCTTGGAGGCAATAGACACTAGACTGATTCCTCGGTGGTTAGCGCATAGGGTACGGGTACCTTTCTTGAAAATCGGGATGATAATTGACTCGCCCTAAGCGGATGGAGCTGTTTCTTCACATCAGATCTTAGCGAACAGAACTGTTAGTTGGTTGACAATTACTTCGCCACCGAACTTAGACAGCTGCGGAGGAAGTGCGTCTGGGGCATTCATTCATTATGCACGTTAGCTGCAGGTGGAAAACACCTCAGCTATTGTGCCGCTATACAAAAGACAAGAAGAAAAAACACATTTGCACGCCGCCTGAGTCCCCAGTAACAGATGGACATCGTTCCGGAGAGCTAACAGCTGGCTGTTGTAAAAGCGAGTCATATTTTGCCTAACAAGTGAGATCGTGATTAGAGGGGGATGCTAAGCAGGAGGGGGATGGACAAAGGAACTCCCAACACAAGCGCCATTGGGTCCGGCTCCTAGCCATATCAGCAAGTATGTCCAACCAAACGTGTTCATCGTACTTAGGACCCCAGCCAGGCAGTCGGGATGCACCAACCGACGCCAAGTGCGGGTTTTCACTTCTTTCGACCAAGTCATCACTTGGCCTCCCCTCCTTCTCTTCCAGCCGCACTCCCGGCGCGCAAACAGTGTACCTCGCGGGAGTCGGTGTACTGGCATGCACAACATGTGGCCTATCCATCAGAGCCTGGTGCGTGATATAATGGTGCTGAGCGGTTCACTCGCTCTTCTTGCACCGAATACGCGACGCCGAATGCGCTCATTGCTCACGCTGTGCTGCCACCAGATATGAGCTAAGCTGCAAAGGCAGCGATGATCGAATATGACGAGCCTCTTTATGTCTGTCGACGTGATGGGCCAGGTTTCACAATCATATAGGAGGGTTGAACGGACGACCGCGTTATAAACTCTTCCCTTCAGGGCGAGAGTAATGTCGCGTCTGTGCCACAGGTGGCGGAGATTGGCCAAAGCACCTCGAGCTTTTGCTATACTGTTCGTAGCCTCATCTACGATCCCACGGGCGCTAATATAACTGCGCAGGTACTTGAATTCCTGAACGAATTCCAGTAGATCACCACAAAACGTTAGCGCAGGTGTAGGTCCCTGCCAATCTTGGAGTAGTACTTTGCATCTCGATGGAGCAAAGCATAGCCCAAAACGATAGACAGCCAGTTCTAATCAGTGCAGTGCTGCTTGGTATATTTGGGAGCTGTCACAGATTAGGGTAATATCGTCCGCGTACTCCAGGTCAGGAAGTGGCTCCACACCTTCTAGGTCGTGTCCAGCGAATGCTGATTCCATGACTTCGTCAACTGCTAAGTTACATAGGATAGGTGACAACGGGCAACCTTGTCTCACACCGTTGGTGATACTGAAGCGTAGCGACAGTTTGCCATAAACCCTCACTCCACCCGAACTATGCGCGTCCAGCGCTTTAATAATGTTTACGTATTTATAGGGCACTCCTTTCCTCAGCAGACAGTCCTAAAGGGCACATCGATCGACTCGTCGAAAGCACCTCTTATGTCAAGAAACACGACAACGGTGGGTCGCCAATAAACATGACGGTGCTCCAACACTTGACGCAATGTGAAGATGTGGTCGATGCAGCCCCGACCTCGACGAAATCCGGCTTGCTCTTCACGAATCTGGCTTTCACAAGTGCCAGTCAGTCTGTAGAGAATGACAGAGGC